GGTCAAACTATGAAATCAAACCATGGGATCAAACCATGGGTTCAAACCATGAAATCAAACCATGGGATCAAACCATGGGTTCAAACCATGAAATCAAACCATGGGATCAAACCATGGGTTCAAACCATAGATTCAAAACATGGGTTCAAACCATATGTTCAAACCATAGGTTCAAACCATGGGTTCAAACATGAATCAAACCATGGATCAAACCATGGCTCAAACCATGAAATCAAACCATGGATCAAACCATGGGTTCAAACCATGAAATCAAACCATGGGATCAAACATGGGTTCAAACCATAGATTCAAAACATGGGTTCAAACCATATGTTCAAACCATAGGTTCAAACCATGGGTTCAAATCATGAAATCAAACCATGGGATCAAACCATGGGTTCAAACCATGAAATCAAACCATGGGATCAAACCATGGGTTCAAACCATGAAATCAAACCATGGGATCAAACCATGGGTTCAAACCATAGATTCAAAACATGGGTTCAAACCATATGTTCAAACCATAGGTTCAAACCATGGGTTCAAACCATGAAATCAAACCATGGGATCAAACCATGGGTTCAAACCATGAAATCAAACCATGGGATCAAACCATGGGTTCAAACCATGAAATCAAACCATGGGATCAAACCATGGGTTCAAACCATAGGTTCAAACCATGGGTTCAAACACCTTTTATTGCAGAGCAATAAAGGAATGGAACAGACTGCCTGCACATGTCAAAGCCAGTCATAGCATGAACCAGTTCAAGAAGAGAACCAAAAGGTACCTAATGAATGTAGCGGACAGAAAGGGACCAGACTAATTTTTTTTTTTTTTTGCCAGTACACGTGTAAATATAACTCATTTTACCTTATTTCTAGTATAATAATAAGATATTATTTCCTTTATAGTATAATAATAAGGTATTAAAAGGACCCTAACGGAAATAAGTCACTTTGTCTGATTTTTTTGGGTTGTACAAAAATATTGGTAGGATTATTGAATATAAAGTTGACTCTAACTCACGAAATCGTAGCACCTTGCCTGCCGTGAGTTCGAATCCCACTCGTTCTAGATCGGAAAAGCTCCTCTGTATACGGTGCCGTTCTCTGCGAATGCAACTGAAAGAATGGGACCAAAATTGCTCAGTGAAATATTTTTCACACGTTATTCAATGTTGGTTGCAAATTTAAAGTCGTGTTTGCAAAAAATAAAAAGGGAAATCGCGCTGTGTAGAGCTTTATAAGAGAGCTTACTCTAAGTTTCGCTCCGTAAAACTCCTGGAGGGCGAAACGTAGCAGTAATAATAGGAAGTGATTCTTAGTCTCGAGCTTCCCAGCCAAGAAGTTTAAGTTAACTGGAGGGAAATTTATATCTCCTTAGAACCATTACCGTGACCTCCAGTCTTCACATGACTTCTGTGTCACATGACACATGTCACATGGCACCTGTGTCACATGGCACCTGTGTCACATGACAACCTGTGTCACATGACACCTGTGTCATATGGCACATGTGTCACATGGCACCTGTCACATGGCACCTGTGTCACATGACACCTGTGTCACATGACAACTGTGTCATATGACACCTGTGTCATATGGCACCTGTGTCACATGGCACCTGTCACATGGCACCTGTGTCACATGGCACCTGTGTCACATGCACCTGTCACATGGCACCTGTGTCACATGACACCTGTCACATGGCACCTGTGTCACATGGCACCTGTGTCACATGACACCTGTGTCATATGGCACCTGTGTTACATGACACTGTGCCATTATGGCCACCTGTTCACATGGCACCTGTGACCCATGACACCTGTGTCACGATGACCCTTGTCATATGGCACCGGTGTGTTACACATGGGGTACCTGTGTCACATGACACTGTGTATAATGACCAACTGTGTCACATGACACCTGTGTCATAGCACTGTGCACATGGCACCTGTGTCATATCGGGACCTGTGTACACTAGGGTACCTGTGATCACTGACACCTGTGTCACACTGAAAACACTGTAGTCACATGACACCTGTCAAATGGCACCGTGTGACTCGACATGACCGTTGTGCTCAATACACTGTGTCACATGACAACTGTGTCACATGACGGGACCTGTTACATTTGGGACTGTGACATGGTTACCTTGTACATGACATCCTGTATACACATGAGGTGTGTCATATGGCTACCTGTGTCACATGGCACTGTGTCTACATACACCTGGCACATGGACCTCGTTCACATGGCACCGTGTGTCATATGCCACTGGGTCCAATACCACTGTGTCGGTGCACCTGTGTACCACATGAGCCTGTGCCACATGACACCTGTGTCACATGGCACCTGTGTTACATGACAACTGTGCCACATGACCACTGAGCCGGGGTGACCTCGTATACCACTGAGCCGGGGTGACCTCGTATACCACTGAGCCGGGGTGACCTCGTATACCACTGAGCCGGGGTGACCTCGTATACCACTGAGCCGGAGTGACCTCGTATACCACTGAGCCGGGGTGACCTCGTATACCACTGAGCCGGGGTGACCTCGTATACCACTGAGCCGGGGTGACCTCGTATACCACTGAGCCGGGGTGACCTCGTATACCACTGAGCGGAGTGACCTCATATACCACTGAGCGGGGTGACCTCATATACCACTGAGCCGGGGTGACCTCGTATACCACTGAGCCGGGGTGACCTCGTATACCACTGAGCCGGAGTGACCTCGTATACCACTGAGCCGGGGTGACCTCGTATACCACTGAGCCGGGGTGACCTCATATACCACTGAACCGGGGTGACCTCATATACCACTGAGCCGGGGTGACCTCATATACCACTGAGCCGGGGTGACCTCATATACCACTGAGCCGGGGTGACCTCGTATACCACTGAGCCGGGGTGACCTCATATACCACTGAGCCGGGGTGACCTCATATACCACTGAGCCGGGGTGACCTCATATACCACTGAGCCGGGGTGACCTCATATACCACTGAGCCGGGGTGACCTCGTATACCACTGAGCCGGGGTGACCTCATATACCACTGAGCCGGGGTGACCTAAAATGAAAAACGAGACGTTTTCTTCGTAAATGCAGTAACATACAGAGGAGAGAGGTCACTAGCCTCTTGCTCCCGGCATTTTGGTCGCCTTTTACAACACGTATGACTTACGGCGGGAGAACTCTGTAGATGAATGGTTCAGAGAACCGAAACATTGATAAGTTAGACACACGTGCAACACTTGGGTATCTTTAATGAAGAAACGTTTCGCCACACAGTGGCTTCATCAGCTCATACAAAGGAGAATGTTGAAGAACAGGAGGAGTTTGAGGTAATCAGTCCCTCAGCCTTGAGTCGATGTGGTCAGTCCATCAATCTTGAATAGAATACAGCATATGTGCGAAGAAGTAGCTTATATACTGTAGACAGGAGAGGTGCAGCAGTCGTAGGTGGTGTCACATTTATCCACTGTGGAAGTAGGTCGTGTCCAAGGGTTAGGCAAGTGAAGAATTCCCTGTATTAAGATCCCAAGATGTTGTAATAAAGTTGGTAGAATTACCGACAATATGTAAAGAAAAAGGACACAAGTGCAACTAATGTGACATTTATTGTGGCAACGTTTCGCTCTCCAGGAGCTTTATCAAGCCATTAGTAATGGCTTGATAAAGCTCCTGGAGAGCGAAACGTTGCCACAATAAATGTCACATTAGTTGCACTTGTGTCCTTTTTCTTTACATCCCAAGATGTTGTTGAGGGACTGATTACCTGACTACCTGACTGTAGTACCTCCCTGGGTGGTTGCTGTTTACCAACCTACTACCACAGGATGGTAGTACCTCCCTGGGCGGTTGCTGTCTACCAACCTACTACCACAGGATGGTAGTACCTCCCTGGGCGGTTGCTGTCTACCAACCTACTACCACAGGATGGTAGTACCTCCCTGGGCGGTTGCTGTCTACCAACCTACTACCACAGGATGGTAGTACCTCCCAGGGGGTTGCTGTCTACCAACCTACTACCACACAGGATGGTAGTACCTCCCTGGGCGGTTGCTGTCTACCAACCTACTACCACAGGAGGGTAGTACCTCCCTGGGCGGTTGTGTCTCCCAACCTACTACCACAGGATGGTAGTACCTCCCTGGGTGGTTGCTGTCTACCAACCTACTACCACAGGATGGTAGTACCTCCCTGGGCGGTTGCTGTCTACCAACCTACTACCACAGGATGGTAGTACCTCCCTGGGGGTTGCTGTCTACCAACCTACTACCACAGGATGGTAGTACCTCCTGGGCGGTTGCTGTCTACCAACCTACTACCACAGGATGGTAGTACCTCCCTGGGCGGTTGCTGTCTACCAACCTACTACCACAGGATGGTAGTACCTCTCTGGGTGGTTGCTGTCTACCAACCTACTACCACAGGATGGTAGTACCTCCCTGGGTGGTTGCTGTCTACCAACCTACTACCACAGGATGGTAGTACCTCCCTGGGTGGTTGCTGTCTACCAACCTACTACCACAGGATGGTAGTACCTCCCTGGGTGGTTGCTGTCTACCAACCTACTACCACAGGATGGTAGTACCTCCCGGGGTGGTTGCTGTCTACCAACCTACTACCACAGGATGGTAGTACCTCCCTGGGTGGTTGCTGTCTACCAACCTACTACCACAGGATGGTAGTACCTCCCTGGGTGGTTGCTGTCTACCAACCTACTACCACAGGATGGTAGTACCTCCCAGGGCGGTTGCTGTCTACCAACCTACTACCACAGGATGGTAGTACCTCCCAGGGCGGTTGCTGTCTACCAACCTACTACCACAGGATGGTAGTACCTCCCTGGGTGGTTGCTGTCTACCAACCTACTACCACAGGATGGTAGTACCTCCCTGGGCGGTTGCTGTCTACCTAATTTATTATTATTATTATTATTATATATCAGCAGGGGTGATGTTTAATATTATATTTTGTTTTCCACAGAGGCCAGGAGAGTGGTGATATAGGGGTTGCCAGTGGTGGCGGAGGCAGTTTGGTGAGTGGCGGCACTGGCGGCGGCACTGCCAAGATGTCGGTAGTGCCACGGAATCCCCCTGCCGCCGTGCCAACGAGTGGAGACACTCCCTCCAGGAAGCCCGTACGTTTGTGTCAGGTGAGTGACCGACCCTCCACACACACCTGCATGTGATGTGAGGTGATTTGGTTTGATCGGAGGAAAGGGAGGCAGCTCCAGTTCCTATGATCAAGAGCCCTTTACCAGTATCAACGCATCATCCTAGAAAAAACAAGAAGAACGGGCCTACGCTGATCCTGATACCTGTCAGGACCACTGTTAGAGTCTCTTGTCCAGTCTTCTGTTTAACCGTCGTCTGTCGTTCATTGGGACTCGAGTTTATAGAAATATTAGAATAGAGGAGCCCTTCAGTAGGCCCAGTAGGCCTACTGGACCATTCTAAGCAGGTCTGGACCATTCTAGGCAGGTCTGGACCATTCTAGGCAGGTCTGGACCATTTTAGGCAGGTCTGGACCATTCTAGGCAGGTCTGGACTATTCTAGGCAGGTCTGGACCATTCTAGGCAGGTCTGGACCATTCTAGGCAGGTCTGGACCATTCTAGACAAGTCTGGACCATTCTAGGCAGGTCTGGACCATTCTAGACAAGTCTGGACATTCTAGGCAGGTCTGGACCATTCTAGGCAGGTCTGGACCATTCTAGGCAGGTCTGGACCATTCTAGGCAAGGTCTGGACTATTCTAGCAGGTCTGGAACCTTTAGCATCTGGACCATTCTAGCAAGGTCTGGACCATTCTAGGCAGGTCTGGGCCATTCTAGACAATTCTGGGTATTCTAGGATCTTGACCATTCTAGGCATCTGGACAATTTAGGCATCTAGAACCCTTCTCTGAAAGGGCCACCTTTAAATCTTTACCTCTAACTTTTTTTTACGCTAGCGAAGGTGTTAGTTTCAACAACTCTGGCTGACTGATTCACGCATCTACTGATAAAACTCTACTTGCCTATATCCTATCTAAATCTAAATTTATCCAACTTGCAATCATTCTTCCGAGTTCTTTCCTGGTTAAATATTTACTGTACTTTATATGCATCTCCTTCCTTCAAACCTGTCTTCCACTTGCCTTTCTTCCGTCATTCTCCGCCTCTGGAAGGAATGCAGATTCAGTGATCGCGATCACCTTAATAAAAGAGATCTTATACGAGGGTTTAATTCGTCATTCTATCTGTACGTTGCTTAGCATTACATAAATTTTGTATGTTATGAAGATGAGG